CTTTGAAGGTGACTGAAGTTTAAACATGTAAGAATAAATACATATATTTTTATAACAAATTCTGGGGTTTTTTTGCCCACCTCCCCTTATATATTTGGATTTATACCCAAAATGGAAGAGCTAATCTATAAAAAGGATTTGGGGTGGTTTTTTTTGAAGTCCTAAAATATTTATATGTTTATTCATGTAGAATGTCTGATGTATCTTTTCTTGCTATGACTACCATCTTACATCAGCTTCTCCCAGAAGCAGGCTCTGAGTCAAAAATTCACATGCAGGGGGTTATTGAGAAGGCACTCCCAGAAGAAACCAGACAGGGAGTGGAGATGCAGGAAGGAGAAGAAGTGAACAAGGGCATCACCTTAGGCTAAGTTGCAGGTCCAGCCTGATCCCATTGGCAGTTTTAGGGTGTAAGTTGCACCTCAGTTAGCCCAACCTCCAGATGAAAGAGCTGCATGTTTGTACTTCCACACCAGTCAGTGGTTCCCAGGTATGGTGCTGGGGGTCTGGGGAGGTGCACCACTCCCAGGCACTTGTGGCACTCCAGAGGGGCAAGGAACCTCTCTGTCTATAGAAAATCCTCTGAAGGTCACAGGGACAGACTATGAGCATCAAATCACATAAGAGCTGGGAAACAGACACACAGAGCTGATAGAAGAGGACCCAAGAAGCTTTGGGGGGGGGCACCAGCTGTGTCCACTACATCTCTATATTATGTCTGTATAAAATCTGGATATGTACACGGACACCAAGGGTTGTATAATATTTATTTTCAGAGTAAAGATTTCTAGGACAACAGTGACCATAAGTCACAGTGTATCACAGAGAGTCTGACACAAAACAGTATGAAGACCGACAGTCTGAAAGAATCAGAGGAACACTCAGAGGAAGCAGGGTCCAAAAGTATTAAGAGTCTGGAGCAAGGAGCAAAATCTGACAAGATGGAAACCAGCAGGAATAAAGTTAAGGTCTTAACCTTGGGTCAAAGTCAATGATGGCACCATCAGAGGATACAGGGGGCCCAGCTTAGTAGTATCATAGAAGCCCACCATTCAGTGATTCAATTCAAGTGGCATTTAGAGGAAGGCAGGGTCTGGAACCAGAAAAACAAAACTCCCTACTATGTGGTGTGGATCCCACCATGCCCAGAATGTGGCCTTTGGTTCTGGATGTCCCAGTTTAAAAGAACGTGGGCCACAGATGGTACATGGCCCATGTACAGAAGGACATGGCACAGATTGTTCAAGAACTTTACACTAAATCATGGAAGATGTTGGTGACAGAATTGGGAATATTGTCTCTATTTGAGACTGGGGAATGTGTTAGGTGACTTTAATTCTTGAAGGACCATCACTGTGGCAGAATGGTTAGCCTTGTTCTGTGTAACCCAAAATGTAGAATGGGGCCCAGTTGGTAAAAACTACAGGGAGATGGAGTTTAGTGCAATCTAGGGGATACTTTAATAGCCAGAGCTATCCAAGGAGAGGGAATAAAGAAAGAGAATTGAGAAGGATGGAAATAAATGATGGGCAGGGTTGACACAAGAGGGAGGCAGGGCGTTCCCCAGCACCGGGCTGTGGCCCTGTCAGTGGTCCCCAAGCCCGACTCTGCACCAACGCCACCTGGGGACTTGCTAACCATACATTTCTGGGCCCTGACCCACAGACGTCCTCATCCAGTGAACACGGATAACACTCAGACGTCTACATTCTAACAGGCTTCCCCATTTGTTCCTTATGGCATCACCCAGAGTTTGCACTATGACCAGCGTGCGGGACCAATGGTGAAGGCATCTCATCATGGAGCACTAGAGAGACCTCAGGTGTGGGTGGAGGAGGGAGCATAGAATATATGCACTTGTTATGTACAAGTTGCAGAATCTGTGGCCCTGAGATTGTGGACTGCTAGGTTTCCCACCAGAGGAGTTGGTCTGAGGAACATCGTTTAATAGACCTCAGGGGCTTTGGAGCCCAACTAACTTGAGTTTACTTTCAGGCTCTTCCTCATATTAACTGAAAGTCCCAGAAAAGTCATGTCCACTCTCCAACCCTTAATCTTCTCACCTGTGAAATGGAAGATAATAATCCCACCTCTAAGGGTCATTGTAAAGCTTGAACGAATGTATAAACTATACTACTGTGGTATGTTGTGAGGAAACTTCTAAAGAAAATTATGAATTACCTGGTCATTTTGGGGTAATGCTGAGTGCGAAAGAGGATGGAACACTTCTTCAGATCTGGAACAACTTGTTCAAAGCAAATATATTGTGTTCTATACTAATATGACATTTGGAAAAGAACGAAAGCCATCCTTTCCCAATATTTCATTACTTTGCTAAAAGATTAATAAAAAGAACTTATCTACTCTTATCATGTAATGGAAGAGGATCGTATAACTTCAAAACAAAACAGCATTCATTTTTTTTTAATCCTATGAAGACAAACAATACTTCCTAACATTGTTTTTCTGCCTTTATACATCTAATGAACTCATGCAAACAGGCTTCCTTTATAGCTGCTGAGGCAAGTATAAAGTTTCCTACTAAACATGACCTAGGGGTATGGACGATTATTCCTCCAAGTTCGGTTTGTTCTGTTCCGAGTACCCACCTGGCCCCATTCTGCCTGCAGGGCCTTTCTGATGTGCGGATAGTCACTTCACGCAGACCTTTCTACGTGGTTGTGAAGGTTGTTCACAGCATCAGGGCTTCCAACTGGAAGAGCTAATGCGTCCCCTTGTCAGGCTGTGACCCCTGCACGAGGCTATATCCTCTAGAGGAAGGGATGTCATTTCTAATCCACAGACAACCATATAGGCTAATGTGGCCCCACCTGGAATCAGGGGCATGGGCGCTCTGATATTTCCATGTAAGATGCCCCTTCCCCCTATCACCTCTCCCGCAAATTTCTGCCACAGCCTTCCCCAGTTAAGTTAATGGGCAGGTACTCCATTCTAGTAGTTCAGGCCAAATCCCTGGAGTTATTCTTCATTCTTGCCTTTAATCTCACACCCTACATTTTCCTTATCTGGCTTCTCTTTCAAAACATGTCTCAAATTTAAGCACTTTCTATCACCAATGTTAAGCCATCATTACCTAGAAACAGCCTCCTAACTGGTCACCCTGCCCCTGCCCCTGCCCCACCGGAGTCCAATCACAATACAGAGCTACCATGATACTTCTAAACCCATTCCTCTGCATAGGCCCTGCCAGTGGCTTCAAAGCTCTTCAGAAAAAGCTCAAGTCTTGTGCATTTAGTCTGTGTTCATCGACTCTAAGATCCACAAGGGCAGGAGTGGTCATCTGTTTTGTTCATTCCTCTAATCTCAGGGTCTATCACAGTGCCTGGCACAGAATAGACATCCAGTAGCTCATTCGTAAAGGAATGAGTGAGTGGTCCTTTGCTATGGCCCCCAGGGTGACAGCAGCTCAGATCATTTCATCTGAGGTGCCAGCACCTTTGGACCGGGGTGGCGTTGGCTCCAGTGGTTACCAGACTTGGGAACACATCTAGCTCTGGTCCAAACCTCCCTGATATGGCTCTTTCTGCCTCCCCAAGGCAACAGGTCCCCTCCCCCCTCCCCTTTGAGAATAAATGTCGACAGTCTCTCTGTAAGTTAGGGCTTTAATGAACAAAAGGAACTCCTAATTTGGACCTACAGAAAAGGCCCTGGAACAAGGGAATAGAAAGACTCGCCTCGAGCAAGGACCGGAGAATGAGGAAAAATATTTACAGCAGTTAAAACGGAGACAGGTTAAGCACTCTACCAACTGTGCTCTCACACATCCTAACACTAGATTGCATTTATTTGATCCCGCGCTCTGTCACCCTCCACAACTGTGAGGGGGCCTCTTGACGTCGGAGACTGCTCGTTCATCAGTCAGACACCTGTGTGGCCCAGAGATGCCTCATGCAGTCATTGGTTCCAGGTGCCAATCTCCCAAACCCTGTTTAATGGGATGACAGGACAAAGGTTGGGGGAGGGGCTGGGAGTCTCAGCTTCTGTTCCAAGGAGATGTGGTATCTCTCTGCCTTCTACACAACCATGTCGGGGCATCCCCTACCCATCAGCTCCCTCTCAGCTGAGGTCCCATCACTGTGACCCCACTTGAGAGCCACTCAGCTCCCCTCAAGCCTATCAGAGCCTGGAGTGATAAGGAGATTGAGTTAGTTGAAAGGCAAGGATGGGGGTGGGCATTTAATCAACACGTGGTCACAGCCCCAGCCCATTAATCATAAGCAGGGAGTTGAAGGTGAAACAGCTGTGTATTCTGCCAGGTGGGCTGAGCCTATGGACAGGGAATCCCAGGAGAGGCCCGGGAAGCACCAGAGTGGCTGCCAGGGAGCTGAGGGACTTCAGGCACAAAGCAAGGCTCAGGATAGATGACCAACATGTCCTGGTTTGCCTGGGATTTTCTCAGCTTTAGCATCAGAAGTCTCGTGTCCAGGAAACCCCATTAGTCCCAGGTGAAGCAGAATCAAGAGGCAGGGAACAAAGCTACGAGAACAAAGCCAGACCCCAGTGTGCAGAAGGGACACTGGGGAGACACAGACCAATGGCCCCACCAGAGTGCTACAGACTGAAAGCCCAGTTGTAAGAACCAGGACACAGGAGAGCAACTGGGCTCAGGAAGAGGTTACTGTAGTCAAATAAAGTTGGCAAACCCTAAGTTAAACAAGAGTAGGCAGGTTCAGGATAGGCTTTATTGCCCTAAAGTAGATGAAGCATCTTCCAAAGATCAATAACCATGCTTCTCCAACTTTAACAAGCACAAAACCCTTCCCAGCCCATGGAATAACTAACACATTGAGTTCACAGGCAGCTAGCAAAGCGCAGATTCAAGCCGGGAGACACTGCTCTAAGGCAGGTTTCTGGAGCCCAGTCTGAAAAGAGAAGTTCACATGGAGTCTGATTGTGTGGGTTAATAATTGTCGAGCCTTGAAGGCAGATCAAAGGACAAAGTCTCAGTTTTAGACATGACAGCCCAGATGGAGCACTGCTCTCTCCAACCCAGCAATGGGTCTAGAGTCGTTCATTTATCAGAGGTTTTTGTACTGCACCTAAGGACTGTCCTCGGTCATCATAAGTGCCCTGGCTGAAGGTGAGCGTACCTGATAACACTTTCCCTAAGGCAGGGGCGGGCCCGGCTCACTCAGGGAGTGTGGTGAAGAGGTTACTGACCCCCGGCAGGAGCCCACACCAAACACTGAACAGGTGTGCCAGTAGGTAGGTAGAGCGGCCGTCATTGTGATTTCTGTGGCTTCCACATCTCCCTCTACGGTGGTTGGAGGAAGACCAGCTGGACTTGACCTGACAGGGGGTTGGGGAAGTACAGAGGTTCTAGAACAACACTGAGCCTGAATGTGCCGGGCACCAGCAATGCACTCACTTTGTGGAGCCTTGTGGAGAATTGCCAGAGCCCTCGGGGGGCTGGATGGGTGGCAAGCCTTTTTCAAGAGCATTTGCACTCTCTGGGTGGGTTGTTGTCAGGGTACCATGAGGAGTGAATCTTCAGGGCTCGCCTGTATGTTCCTACCAGGAATCATGACAGGCCTTCCGAGCAGTGGTGGAAAGACCAATGAACTGGAGGCCAGGAATCTGGGTTCCTACGTGGCTCTGACACTCTGCATTGTCACCTCTCTGAGGTTTCACATTTCCACATGGTAACTGAGGGCCTTTGGACTGGATGCGCCTAAGGCTGCTTTTGAGCTTTGACATTCTAAAAGCATCAGTCAACAAATGATTCCCAAACCTTTCCTGGTTGTTATTTACTCGGGTTATGAGCTGCCACTCCCCTGAATGGTAAGCATTTTGCTCTGACGATGTGTCAGGCCTCTGTGGCACTGGGCAGGGGTGCAGGCGCCTTGTGGAGAAAACCGGATCCAGGTCCTTCACTGCACATCCACAGTCTGCTCTACGCCCGCCGCATCCCGCAGCCTGGCAGCCCTGGACTACTTCCACTTTCTGGAACATTCTATGTGCCCTTCACTCCATGCTTCCACGTGTGCTGGGCTCCTTGGGACACACATCGGAGGTCGGCTTGTGTGCAGAGAGGTCCTCCCGTGAGGGAAGCGGGACTGGTAGAAGCAGGCTGGCCTGAGACGAAGTCACACTGAGGCCTCGGCCGGTCCTACGGGGTGCTCTGAAGTTGGGGTGGCCCTTCAGAGCTGTGCTTAACAGAGGCAAGGAGGCTGGGCCTTTGCGCCCAGCTTCTCCTGGGCAGGAGGCCTAAATTGGGCACTTCCGGGGGGCCAGCAGCCTCTCCCTGCAGCTCGTGTCCTCAGCACCGTCCCTTGCTCCCCCGCGCCCCCACCGTCCCTGCTGGGACTGTGCTTCTGCCAGCGTGCCATCCCTGCCTGCGTAAGGAGGAGCTCCTCAAGGGTGGGCGCCGGAGGCATCCCTGTCGTCCCAGACAGGCATGCAGTGCCCACGAGTAGCAGGGAGGAAACAGAACGTGCTGAGTAGGAGTGAGGTCTCTGCCCCACACTAAGTTCAGATCCCAGGGGCTCTCACTATGAGGTAGTTAATATCCTTCCCAGTGCTTCAGTTCTCAACCTGTAAAATGGGAAAAATGGTTATTGTCACTGCCTTGTAGGTTGTTAGGATTAAATGAATGATAAAAGTAAACCCCGTGCACACGGAAAATACTAAAAGAAGAGGAGCAGAGGGGGCGGTCTCCTGTAGTCTGTCCTCCCCAACCGACTAGCGAAGATTGGGTCACGCAGTCTCAGGTCTGGGAGGGGAGAAGGAGTCAGGGGAGAGGAAGCCGGTAGCTATGGCCGCGAGAAGGCATGTTGTGGGGGAGCCATGACCCTGAGCTGTGTGGACGGTTGCAGGGAAGTGATGCCAGAAGCTGGGGATGTGGCAGTGAGAACATGAAAGCTGGGAGGACCTCGAAATCGAGAGAAGAAAGCTGAGCTGAAGACCCGGGAAGCTTAGTCTGGTTGTGAAGCCTGCTTCAGATGTCTTCGGCCTTTTCTCACTGTGTTCATTATCTTCCCTAGATAACCTTCTCGAGGAACGAGTGGACAGATAATCACAAATGCCAGGCGTTGCCTCCCTCCCCAGTGTCGATCCCGGGACAGTGCGTGTATCTCTGCTGCAACACACAGGCCACCACACGTACCTCTGAAAAAGGGAGCAGCCTGAGCAGAGGGGGCTGGAGTGCTGGGCTCCCCTGCATCCTGTCTCCCAAGGGCCGGCAGGATACCCCGCTGGAAGCCCACTTCCGCCCTCTCCATCCGCTCCCTCAGCAAACCCATTGAGGAGGGAACATTTTCCTGTCCTGGGGGAAGAGAGACCTTTGTCCTGCTCTCTGAGGGTGGAAGGGGAAGATGCACTGTGACCGAACACTTTTAACTCCAGGTTTCCCTGCAGATCTCCATGCAGCCTCCTCTGACATGACTCTGTTCAACATGTTCACCTTGGAGGGTGGGTATTTTATTTTGTGTTAGGTCATTTTATTTTCATTGTGCTACAGGCTACAAACAAAGGCAAACGTGCCAGGAGTTAAAACTCCATAGTACAGCACTGATCGCTATAAACACTTAACTAAAATAAATCCTCCTCAGTCCAGCGGGCCTGGAATATCCTTCAGGCCAGTTTGAAATAAGAATCAGAATAGAGCCCCAGTTCAGCCAATTAGAACTAAACACAAAAAATCACACCACTTGGCAGAACTACACACTTTCATTCATTTATTTTCCATCTATTTATTTACTCGATGGTAAATGTATCTAGTGTATTGCAAGGCATAATTGAGTATTTTTAATGTGCCAAGTGTTATCTTTGGGCTGCAAGAAATGAAAGGCAGCGTAAGAATCTTCCCCTCTGGAGAAGCCAGCAGTTTAGTAGGGGTGGTGAAGAACAGGGACAGGGTTGCATGAAAGAATTATTCCTTCAGAGCCTAGGAGGGTAGCGGGGAATGTGAAGCAGGGAGGAGGGTGGTTGGTCTGGCCTAACACTCAAACATACACAGAACCTCGGTTGTCATGAATTTCGTCATTAAATTTTATCCCAAATTTTGCAGTGCAGCTGAAGCGCAGTACACAGAGCACCGCCACGAGGATGTGTTGCAAACCGTACATGGTCCCTGGGCACTACAAATAGTGAGAGCTGAAGGCCAAGGGCACAGCACATTCAGTTGTGTGTCCCCAGCCATTACTAGCCCATACTACTCGAATGAGGCCCAATAAATATTTGTGGAAGAATAAGTGGGTGCATGGAGATGTTTCAGAGAGGGAGAAGAGATGGGCGTCTCTGGGGATGAGAGGAACCGGGACCCCGTGAAGTGTGGGAAATGTTTGGAATACCCACAATGGGAATCCAAGAGATAATAAACGAGTGATGGATGCAGTGATTGCCAGGCTACTCAACATCATCAGCCAACAGGGAAATGCAAAGCCACAGTGAGATACCACTTCACATATACCAGAATGGCAGTAGTCAAAAAGGCATATAATACTGTGTTGGCAAAGGTGTGGAGAAATTGGAACCCTCCCACGCTGCTGGTTGGAATACAGAAGAGTGAAACGACTTGGAAAAATAGTTTGGCACCTCCTCAAAAGGTTAAACATAGATTTCACATAGGATCCAACAACTCCACTCCTAGATGTATGCTCAAGAGGAATGAAAACATGTAGGCATTCATGAATTGGTATTAGTGCTCAGGGTGACATCATTCACAGAAGATAGAAAGTGGAGACAACCCAAACGTCCGCCAACTGATAAATCAATAGACAAAATGTGGTGTATTAATACAATGGGATATTATTTTATCATAAAAAGGAATAAAGTGCTAATATATGCTACAACATGGATGAACCTTGGAAATATGTGGAAAAAAAGTCATGAGAGACCACAAACCTTATGGTCTCATTTACATGAAGTGTCCAGCATAAGCAGATCTAAAGAGAGAACAAAAAATTAGATCTGTGGCCTCCTGGGGCGGGGCGAGCTTGGAGAAAAATGGAGATTGGCTGCAAAGAGGGTCGGGCTATTTTTGAAAGTCATGAAAATGCTCTTAAATTGATTGTGCTGATGGTTGTGCCACTCTATGAATATACTAAAAACTACAGATTTGTATACCTTAAATGGGCGAATTGTGTGGCATGTGAACAGTGTCTCAACAAAGCTGTTACCAAAACACACGCAGAGACGCACACATTTGAGTAGAAAAAACCTTTTTCCCCCTCTGGTTTCCTCCACCCACCTCCTTCCTGTGCCTAGTAAGTTCTATATAGTAGGTGCTTAGTACACGTTCATTGAGAGAAAGGACAGGACAGATAGGGAGGAAGGACAGAAAAGAAGGATCCGTAGATCAGTCATTCGAAGTACAAGATAACATCTAATCATGTTGAATTCTGGGTCAGGCTTGGCTCCAGCAGCGTGACCTCCCCAAGGAAACCCAGCCGGCCGCCGCTCCTGTCATCCAAACCGCAGCCCATGGTGCAGACAGGGGCAGCCCAGCAATGGCATCTTTTGTGGGGGGAACAACGGGGCAACCCCCATCCCTCCGATTCTGAATTCTGCTGGGGATGCTGCAATTCCAGCTGGTTCCTGTGTGTGCATCTGCTGTGACGCTCACATCTGTGTGCGGGATGGAGATAGCCATTAAGAGGGATATGGAGGTTCAGGAATTGAAACCAGCCTTGGCCATGCGCCTCAGTTGGTTGGACCCAAACTGTTGGACCCAAACTGTTGGACCCAAACTGATGATCATCTAATATCAGGAAATATGCTTATTCCAGACTGTTGGTGTCAGTCTGTGCACCCAAAGGTTGTGGGTTCTTGATTCCTGCTCAGGACACGTGCCTGGGTTGTGAGTTCTGACCCCTGTTGGGGTGCGTACAGGAGGCACCTGATGTGAGTGAGAATCGATGTTTCTCACATCATGTTTCTCTATATCTCTCTCTCCTTCCCTCACTCTTTCCCTTCCTCTCGCTCTAGAAATCAATGGAAATGGGTCCTTGGGGGAGGATTAAAAAAAAAAAAAAACATTGAAACCAGCCCACTTGGAGATTTAGAAAATGGACCTAAGGCCAAGCAAGCACGTGTGAGAACCCAGCTATTCCAGGGCTCTGTGGGCTCTGGGAGACGGCAGTCAGCAAAACGAACCCTGACCGTATCCTTGTGGAGGTGGAGACTGTTGGGTCGTTTACATGAAGCAGATTTTAAAGAAAATTAGAGTCTAATGGCAAATAAATATTAAGTATTTATTTTGAGAGGCAAAATTGAAATAATAGACAGAAGGTTGGCTTCAGACAGAATCAGGTCCAAATACTGATTCTGTAACTACTAGCTGTTCACTTTATTAAAAAGAAATCACAGTTATACACGTGCATGATTTGAAGAGTACAATGGTTCTACAAAATTTATAATAAAAACGAGCATTTTCTTGCTCCATCCTCTACACCCCAATTGCCACTCTCTAGGAATAACCTCTTTGAACTCTTTTAGGTATTTCTTCCCTCACTTCTCTCTACACAGTAGGTCCCCCTTACCTGCTGGGGTTACGTTCCAAGGTGCCTGGAACTGGTAGTACAAAGTATTATGATGTTTTCCTTATACATACCTGTGGTAAAGTTTAACTTACAAATTAGGCGTGGTAAGAGATGAACAACAATTAAGAACGAGATAGAACAATTATAACAATACACTGTAATAAATTTATGTGAATGTGGCCTCTGTCTCTATCTCTCTTCCTCTCAACTATTCTGATAACCAAGACAGCCATTCAGTGACTAACAGGCAGGAAGCATGGACGCTCTGGACAAAGGGATGTTAACTGTCATTATTATTCCGTGGAATAATGCATCCATCAAAACCGCATAGAGGAAATGTGTTTTTATACATGGAAAAACTCATAATAATTTGAAAAGTAGGTTATGTAATAGCACAAGCAGTATGATCACAAATTTTATAAAATGAACATACACATAGAGAGAAAAAGCCAAGACGACATACATAAAAACATTTATGTCTAGATAGTAAAACCAAGGGCAACTTTCCTCCTTCCACTCTTCCTTCTCGTCCTTTTCCTTCTCACTCATATTATTATTATGACTCTTTACCTACCTGTATTTTTAAACAATGAACATAAACTAAGTGAAAAATTTTTCCATTTGAACACACAAAGAAGGCATTTGGCACAATTCCAATTTGGGACACTATTTCAAGTGTATTTCCTACACATTATAGAACAGCATATACTGATTTTTTTTAGTGTTCAGAATGTTTAAAAATGTCTAAAAATATTAGAAACATGCTTTAAATTATCAGAACGACGCCATCAATATTAAATAAATTAGCCAGGATAAAATAGCAGGTGTCCAACCTCAAGTACATAACAAAACAGAGTGTGCGTCACAGACAGAACACAGCAAAAACGCAGTGGAAGGGCAGATAAAGTGCTTCTCAGATAAGGTCAAGTTCAAAGAGTTATCATCATCAAGCCCTTCCTATATGAAATGTTGAAGGGACTTATCTAAGAAAAAGAAGATAAAAATTATGAACAGTGAAAGGACAGCAAACTCACAGTTATTAACAGCCACACCTAAAACAAAAGCAATCTAAGAGGACAGCTAGATCAGGAGCAGAACCATAGAAATGGAGATCACATGGAGGGTTAGCAACAGGGGAGTGGGAGGAGGAGAAGGGGGAGAAGGTACAGAGAATAAGTAGCATAGACAGTAGGTAGAAAATAGACAGGGGGAGGGCAAGAATAGTAGAGGAAATATAGAATCTAAAGAACTTGTGACACGTGGACAGAACTAAAGGGGGGGAATGTGGGTGTGCAGGGTGGAGGGGAATAAAGGGGGGAGATGGGACAACTGTAATGGCATAATCAATAAAATATATTTTAAAAACCCAGACAGATATCTTTATAAAACTAATCTGAATAACTTTTATAATAATTCTGCAAAAAAGTTGTATTAAAATATCTATATCAAAAAAAGCAGAGGAAAATATTAAGAGGGAGAAAAGAGGGTCATTAGCAGAAGGCATGTTTGACTCTGTCCTTTGTTGATTAAAGTTAACTCCATTCGCCACCTTTTGACCAGAACAGGGTGGATTTGTTTTCAATGATTCGCAAATTAACTTAGAAACTTCCAGACTTATTAGACTAAGTTTTCCTTCGGTGGAGGGTTGCCCTATGAGGTAAAAGTAAAATCATTAAATTTATTCAGTCTAGGAGGAGAGAGACCCAGAGAAAATATGCTTTCAGTTTACTAAATCATAAAGTTTAGGTAAATATAGCCCTGATCATTAATCAAAATGGGAGACAAACCAAAGTTATCTCAATTCCATCAACATGTGGAGGTACCGCCTGCAACGTTGAGTAATTAGACAGCGGCTTTGCGCTGGAGGAGCTCGCCACCTAATGGTGCAGAGAAAAACAACTGTAACTATCTAGCCACAGCCTGGTAGGGGCTGCAGCAGAACAAAGGGTTGTGAGCCCACAGAAGGGAGACGTTTGGATTTGAAGGGTCAGGAAAGACTTCATATCGGTTCATATTGGCACTAAGTCTTGAAGCATGGGTGCCATTTTGGCTACTGGTGGGTTAAATAGTCAGATCCCATGCAGGGGTGATGTTTGTCATGCAACAACCAATAAGCACCATGTGTCACCTCTGTGTTAGAGTGCTGTGTTGGTTCCTGAAAGGCCAATGTCAACCAAAAGGCCATGGGAGCTGCTGACAGGAGCAACCCTTGCTTGTATGAAGGTACAGGCATTGCAGACATGTGGTGGCAGGTGGGGGGGAGCAAGATGCCATCTCACTCAGGATGACACTGTGCTAATTCCAGCCCCATGTCTTGGTCAGGGTTGGTCTCCGCTGAGACGCAGTGGGCAGTGTATCCTGAGGTATGGTTCAGAAACCTCAGGAGGACCCCAAAGCCCAGCCTAACCTGTCTGTTCTGGATGAATCAGCTCCCTTTCCAAGCTCTAGTTCACCTTACACTCAGCAATCTCATCTGAAGTGACCTTGAAAATTATAAAAAATACTCTGCTTCTAATTGAGGAGGGTTCTGAGGGATGTTTGGGGTAGAGTTGGGAGTCAAGACATCCAGGAGAAGGAAAAAGGTCTAAGTCACCAAGCACTCCCTTCTCCAATGCATTCTTGATGTTGGAGAGCTTGCTGTTGTGGTTGGTTTGCAGGGTCATTTAGTAGCAAAGACCTTCATGGAAGGCTCACAGAGACAGCCCTCCACCACCTCTGCCTGAGCAAGCCAGGGTTGACCCATGTGGTCCCTGTGGTGCTCTCTGCTGCCGCCCAGTGGATCTACAGAGGAAGGTCAGGTGAAAAATTTAATTCAGAGGTCCTCCATGTGGTCCCCAGACCAATAACAGCAGCAGCAGCAGCAAATTTTTGGCTGTCATGGAAATTCTGGAAGTGAGACCGACAGTCTACATTGTAACAAAGTCCTCAGGAGATTCTGGTTTATAATTTTAAAATCTCCAGTCGAGACTAAATAGAGATTTGCACCCTGAAATGTTTAAAATAGATAATCAGAGAATTATCAGTTGGGAGAAACTCTTTCTCTGTATCAGTGATCAAGGATCACAACTTTTATAATAAGTAAATTTCACTAGCCATTTTTTAAAAAAAGTATTCATCTCCTCAAAAACAACAATAAGGCACACGACTCAGCTCCTCTGGTTTTTTTGTTTTGTTTTGTTTTTGCTTTTTGTTTTTCCAGGATCTCCAGTGCTTTCTTGTTTCTGGGAGTGATAGTCAAGATCTTCCAAAAATATAACCTTAAACCCATTTCCCACCCTCACCTCCACCCACCACTAAACTCTAATGCAGCTGGCTGGTTCTCTGAACCCAGCGGGTCCATGTCTTCACTGTGTTCTTTCCACCGGCCAAAGATGCACCCGTCAGTAAGGTTAAAAGTTCAGAGTATAAAGCTCTGAAACCTTGCACCCACTTCAAAGGCCCCCTCAAACACCCGTTCCTCTATAAACTCTTTCCCTGATTGCACCA